TAGTTCCCTCAAATAATAAAAATAAAATTAAGAAAAGATAGGTAAGCGGGAGTTGAGGCCTGAGGGAAAAGGTGAATATTTTTTTGGAATAAGGGTATGTTATGTTCACCTTATTTCACTTAGAGTTATTCAAGTACAAATTACAACTAAATAAGTTTAAATAACTTCAGGTAAGTTCAGATTAGATTAGATAAGTTCGGATAAGTGAAAATAAGGTTTTAAATGATGGAATTGACAAAACAAAAAAAATTAGTTAAAATGTTAAGAACTTTTAAAAAAAAACAAAATGGAAACTGTTAAGGTGACTCAGAATCAAAGGTAATAATATGATTCAATGTAACAGGATTAAGCAAGTTTTGAATGAATTTAGTTTACCACATTTTTTTTATCCAAAAATATAAAAATAAAAATAAAAATCACTCCCAACTCAAAAATCCACTTACCAACAATCCGAGGACCGGGTCCATACATACATTAAACATAAAGGCAATGTTTCAATGGTTGCCTCGCTCACTCATTTATGTTTTTGCTCATTTGCTTAGTTGAAGTTCTTTTTGAGCAAATTAGTAAAATAACCAAATAATATTTTTGTCTCTATCACGCAAGTAGAACAACTATATTGTCGTTAACATGTATGGTGACCGAAATTATTTTTTTTTTAGTAATTATGTGAATACTGTTAAATTTTAAGACAATATATAACGGACATGGACAACCCAAACAAAGAGGAGATCAATTTAGTCTACAAACAAGGATCGAGGAGGTTTTCATACTAAAATGCGGATCAATTTGACCCAGATTAGCGGGCAATATCCGTTAAATGCAGGGAATTTTAAGTGCCCCAAAGTCGTGCCTTTATTAAAAATTGATCTAATGTGATGAAATCCTTCCTAAGATACCAAGAAATACTTGTTTATTGATTGATTAAGTTAGTAAACAAAATTTGAAGGTGGTACATAAGAGTATTATAAAATTATCGGTTTTAACGTCATATACCCCTGATTTTTTGGTTTATTCACCTTGTTCCTCTGAAAATTTTCAAATTCACCATATTTTCCTAAGTTATTACAAAAAATTCACCATTTATCTCTAATGACGACAAGATGAGTAAAATTTGATTATTATGCTTCGAAACCACCTTAGATCTCTCTCCCCCATCCCCGAAACCACTCATCTCCTTTCTCCAACCCCCAAAAACCACTCCAAATCTCCATAACCAAATTTATACAATTGATTTTAAGAATAAGAAAAGAAATTTAGGGTGGTTTTGGGGGTTGGAAAAAGGAATGTGGGTGGTTTCGAGGGTAGAGGAATGTATTTAGGGTGGTTTCAGGTCATAATTAACCCTAATAATGGCTGACGAAAATAACAATCAATAGTTATCAAGGGGATGTATATTTTTGAAAACTAGGGGGTAAATAATGAATTTAAAAAAGTTCAGGGGTATATGGTGAATAAACAAAAAACTCATAAATACATGGTGAAAAAACCGTAATACACAATTTATTATTCTATACTAAATAAGAGTATTTTTTTTCAAGGAATTTTCCTTCGTAAACTCAACTTTTTTTTTTTGAAGTATTAATTTGTTTAGGAAATTCATTATATCAATTTATTATTATAATTTTTTTGAAGACTATTAATATAATTGATTACTATTGTTTTATACTTCGTATTTTCCTAAAAACTTCTATATTTCAATTATTAATCATTTACGAGATCGGGCATGGCTCGGGTATTATCTAGTACTCCCTCTGTCCCTTAATTAGATGTCTACTTCTAAAATTACACGGGAATTAATGAACTTGGAGAATCCTTAAAACCCATGATTGAGAAATATAAAGGGAATAAAAAGACATTTATTGTTGTCTTTGAATAAAACAAAACATAATGAAATTAAATGCTTACACATGTCAGCAAGGACCAATGACATTTGTTTATGAAAAATAAAGGGACCAATTAAATTCATTTAATATGCTGCACATGGATTGCAATTGTTCAAATGGGGAATGAGAAGGAGAGAGAATAAAATGTTTATGTGCAACCATGAGGAAGTAGTAATGGAGGTTAGTTATGTATGGGCAAATACATAACAATACTAAAATATAATAAAAGTACATAGAAGAGAGATAAAAAAAAGTGTTGTGGGACCCATTACACGTAAAAAGAGAGAAAATAGTGATGAGACTACACTTTGACTTGTATAATTGGAAGCTTATAAAAATACCATTGGAATTTTTATTCAAGTACTACTGAAAGTATATTTAGTACCATTGTAAGAATTTCTAGTATCACTGAATTTTACAATGGTATTATTTGACTATTCAATGAGGAGCACACTTTATTTGTACCACTAGAAGCTTATAAAATAGCACTGAGAGTGTTTTTCGTACCACTACAAGCATATATAATATCATTAAATACATACGATTATACTATTTGATCACCCAATGATACCACGCGATATTTTGCGCAATTTAAAAGTGAAATGATTGCACTTTCCCTCGTTATGTATTTATAAATGCCTCACTAACCTCCCTTTGGAATGCCTTGTGCAACCATTAAATGCCAAAAGCAAAAGTAAATAAAGTAGTGCCACATCAAACTGATGATTTGGGGACATTTTGGGGAATAAATTTGAAGAATAAGAATAATTTGGTAAAAATATCACTTACTAAAAAAGAAAATAGGCATCTAATTTTAAAATCCTTAAAAAGAAAATTAGGCATTTAATTAAGAAACGGAGAGAGTAATTTATATTATCATATTTTCTTTGTATTTCTCTAAGTTAACTACAACTAAGCAAGTTGCAATCTCACCAATAACTCTTGATGAGAAAGTGCAAATGTTAGGTATGTAGCTCTCTCCTTTTCATTTCGTGAATTATGCTGGTTTTATACACCCTGCTTACTTCTTTCAAAAAAAAATACACCCTGCTTACTTGACGTGCATTGGTTCTTTCTTTTATATTACAATTTATGAACCATTCGTGCAATATTGTGGAGCATATTCCAAAAGTAGGAAGCCCATGAACCAATATAACTGAAAAAAATATATTAGTTTATAAACATATACCAGTATATTCTATAATAACCTATCATATGCATGTCATATGATAATTTGTAATTTTATTGGAGCTGATAAGGTAATTAACGTGCGCAATGCGCGCATCATAACTAGCTATATATTAGGAGTTGTTGTTTTGATTTAGTCTTAAGTTACAAATAGTTGTTGGCAAATAAATATTTTTAGGGGCATAAATGTCCGTACAATATTCTCAAATATTAAAAAAAGATATGTAATTAACATTAATAAGGGCAAATAAGTAAATAAACTTTTTAGAGGATATTATCATCCAAACACTATTTATTAGGGTTATCTCTATACGTATTTTATATTTGGAAAAATTGCCGGAAATAATCCCACTTTTTAGGCATTCACAAAAAATAATCCAACCTTTGGGTTATTTTTAAGTAATCCCACCTTTATACCCAATCTGCTCTCTAATGGTCTCAACTGGTCAACTAACTTATAATAACAAGTTGGCTACACCCTCATCAGCTTCCCAATGGTACAAAATTTTGTTAATTGATGAATGCCACATGTAATTGTAATTGTATCCTGCCTCTCTCACCCTCTCTTTTCCTTTTAAATAAAAGAAGGGAAATAAATAAATAAAGAGGGAAATAAAGAAATAAAGGAGGAAAAAGGAAAAATTAAATAAAAAGAAGATTAAAAGGAAAAAGAAAATAAAAGAAAATCCGGAAATTCAAGTTAATCAATTTGATTTACATAACAGAGCAATTAAAGGGGTAAAGTTGGAAGTTTGTAGGTAATGACGTGGGTTGTGTGATGCTTTTGCAACACAAGTACTAAATGCAGTACAAACTAACCTAAATACAGGATTTACTTAAATGCATTAAAGACAATATTACCCTTTTTATAATTTCTAGTATCCCACCCTAATTTCATTCTTAAATTACAAAACCCATTCCCTCCATTTTTCTATATACTGTATGGTTTGAAATAAAGAAAGAACGCTTATACTTGTTGATGAAAGAAAGCTTCTGCCATTTTTCTTCTACACCACCTATTCCCCATTGATCCAACTGTTATCAATCCCTCTTGATAATATAACAATAATAATTTAAGCCCTAAAGAAATCTAGCACCCTTTACCCCTTGAAGTAATTTCTAATACCCCTCATCAATCCCCGAAAATTCATTCCGGTAACCCTTCATCAACTTCCAGAAATTTATTCTGGTACCCTTCATCAACCCTTAGAAATTTATTCCGGTATATTTCATCATCCCCCGAAAATATATTCCGGTACCCTATATTATCCCCCGGAAAGTTAATCCGGCATTAATGCTCATGCCCCTAATATTAAATTTAGCAGAAATTTTCTGGAAATTTATACCAAGAATTTATCTTAAGCCCGAACAGCAGTTCTATTAGGTGTGCATGCTGAAAATTTATTTGTTCGGTTGTGTTTGCAGATTGAATGTTAAGGGTGATTATATATATTTTTTGTTGAAATGTTAAGGGTGATTAGTTGATTACATAATTAGGAGTGAAAATGATTTAGATTAAAACAGGGTAAAATTGGAATATAAGTTTTAAATATTTTAAAAATTATTCTGCATTTAGGCAAATTGTTACAGCATTTAGTACCACCCTTTTGCAAAATGAGCTGGAAATTTAATTACTGACTGGATAGACGGTGTTACATAGACGGCCATTACAGGTGGGAGTTAGGGTTTATAGTCACATATCAATTTGAAAGAAAATAAAACAATTCCCCCAAAACCGTCGTACCAGACTACCAATACCACCCATCTTCTTCTCTTCGATTTTTTGCTGCTTCAATGGGGAAATAATCCCCTGCTTCACGCCTCACCAAATACCATCAGCAATCATCATCATCAAATCACCACCGTTCATCCACAACAGCAATTATCGAGCATCAATTCAAGCCGTTGATCTTCATTAAAAATCGCTGTTGAGTCGCCAACTACCGATCATGGGTAGAAACAGGCAGTCTAAAACGAAGAAGAAGAAGAAGCGTTTGGGTGACGATCTTGTGACTCAGGTAACAAAGCTAATTAACTCTGTGTCTGATGCTGAGATAATAAACGTTACTTGTGAAATTCCTTCTAATGAGATTTTAGATGCGTTAAATATTCCTGTCCCTTCTGTTCAGCCTCCTTCCCATGAATGGTTGGGCAAAAATTTGTTAATTGGGGTTGGGGAATGGGGTGATGCACTGGATGAAATTCTAAAGGAAGATAATGTTGATTTTGAAGATGAGAATGTTGACAATTATTCCACTTTTTCAGCTGAGAAGCAAACTGATTATAGAAGGAGGATGATTGACGTTGTGAGGAAAAATCGGCGTAGAACCATGTATAGGAAATGGTTATATGCACAGAAGAAAGAATATCTAGCGGATTGGTCTAAGACAGATAATTGGGAGGATTATGAAAGTGTAGGGGAAGAGAACGTAGTGGCGGAGGGTGAGGATGAAGTGGCTGAGGAGGGTGAGGGTGTGACGGTTGAAGAGGGTGTGGGTGTGGCGGTTGAGGAGGGTGTGGCTGAATTGGGTGAGGAGGGTGTAATTTGGGAAGGGGAGGATTTCATTACTTGTTGTGGTTATAACCCGTTTTCCGGCGTGTTTGATTCCGCTGTGATTGATAATCGTACTGTTTTGATTGACTATCCAAAGTTTATCCATGGTGATAAAATTGTTTTTTATGAGGGAGTTTTTTCTTTAGCTTCTTGGTATAAAAATCACAAGTTAGTCGAACTGAGATATCTGCCCAATTATAGGTATTGGAATGCATACAAATTAACTAGAGAATTGTTAGCAATTGTACAAGTACTTGTTAATTCTATTCTTAATCATATAATTGATGGTAATCCTCATGGAGGGTTGAATGATTTAAAAAATTATAAGATTTCTCAATTTGTAGAGAACCACGTCGGTTCCAAAAAAATTAAATTCCGGGTGGAATTGATAAATCCAAGGGAGAGTGTAGTTGGATTAAGCCAAGACATGGAGCAATTTATTTCTGTTTTGCACAAGTTATTTGAAGGTGGTACTCCTGATGTTGAGTTGCTAGGGTTGCCTAATATGTTACGATCTTCCCTAATCAATGCTAAAGGTTGCGAAATGTTAGTTTTACGCAATTATCCGGCGTTATGGGATGCGGAGGAAAGAGTTGCATTTTATGTCAACCTTTATAATCGTTATGTTAACGATGACTTGATGAAGAAAAAGTTGAATAGTTGTTTCAAAGTTGCTGCCCATATCAATTTAAACTTTCCGTTATCTTGGCAAGCCAAGATATCCCGGGGTTCTGTGTTTGATCACATTTTGAGATATCCAACTGACCAAGACCCTAGCGATTCTATCAAGTATAGCGATGCCGATGTGGTAGACATGCTGAGATTTATTCGAAATGTCTTTCATTACTTTTGTCACGTCCCGGGAGGATATTCTGGAACTCCGACGTTTCGAATGGATGTTATCTGAGATATTTAGTGAAGTCCTACTGAACATATATTGTGGGATGTGCATGTGCAACACGTTCTTAAACTCTTAGTCGACAGGTACTTTCTAATTTATCCTAATATTTAGTGAAAGTGATATTTTTGGACCTGTTTGTTTGATTGATTCCTATATTTTTCTGACAAATGTGTAGATATTTTATAGCTATTCACTGTTTTTCCGACAAATGTGTGGATATTTTATAGCTATCTCAAGTCCCTCATCTAACCAAATCTCCAATTGCTTAGAAATACAATTTTTCCTCACAGCATGCTTAGAAATATCTCAATGCTTACTTCTGTACTATGTGCTCTTGCACTGTGTTTTGGCTTATGTTTGCCCGGTCTGCCTACTGCTTGTCTTTTGCTTGATTTATCAATCTACTCAACCATTTTGAACGTAAATTCAGTCTGCAGTCATAATGTAAATCTTGTTCAGTATGATCGATTGTGATGAAACTTTGTGGTAGATAGTTAGATACCATATTGTGAATAGAGTTTGCTTGTAAGGGAAGTTTCTATTTACTGATGTACAAGTTTGCTTTGGGTTTTTTTTTTGCATTAACCTTCATATTTGATTTTTACAATCTTCTGATTATATCACAAGCTTGTGTGCAGTGGGCCTCATACTTTCTTTGCTATTTCAGAGTTTCAGGAAGTGTTGCCTAGGTAAGCTGAAAGAGGTATCCTTAGTCTGAAGTGGACGCCCTTAGCCGGAAACAAAGTTCACAGTGAACCACTGAACCAGCAATTTGTTGGAGAAAGATCTGATTCCCCTACTGTAGAAAAGTCAATAGCTTTGAATTTGTCCTTCAAGTGCTTGCTTTGTAAATTTAACCTTTTTCTCGTTGAAATTTTAACAAGTAATGTGGAATGTTTGAATATTGTGTCGAGAAGTTGGCATTAGAGAAGAATTCAGTGGAACTTTTTGTCTGCCGTCCGGTAATCGTGGAGGCCCTTCCACGTGTCTCCTATGATATGAATGATATATTTGGATGCATAGTTTTCCGGACAATGTGTATCAGTTGTCTACATGGAGCCATGAGCAGGATTTTTGCATCTTCAATTCTTCATTAGTCTATCTTTTTCATCTGAACTTGATGAACTGGACCTCATGTCAGTATTAGCAAATATGACAGCTTTGGTATCTTGTTGCTGTTATTGACAGAGTACCAAGTTAGGAGATTTAATTAGGGTTAGAAATCGAAGATTCCCATGCGTACACCAGGTTGTAATTTTACCACTCAACATAAGAGTTGGCCCTAAAATTTGGTACTATGCCTAAAATTTCAATCTAATGAAGGTTATAATTTAGATCTAAGATCAATTGTGGAGTTGTAAGGTTATACTGAATAATTGACAACATGTTTTAAAAAATCCAATCTTATTAGCAATTTAGATGTCACATGTCTAGCAAGTTAATTTATCCTAATATTTAGTGAAAGTGGTACTTTTGGACCTGTTTGTTTGATTGATTCCTATATCATAACTGTTTTTCTGACAAATGTGAGGGTATTTTATAGCTATCCCAAGTCCCTCATTTAACCAAATCTCCAAGGAGGAAAATGTTGTTTGCACTTTGCCGTAGTAAGTCATTGAGGAGATTTTGATTTTGTAAGCAGTCTCCCTATTGTGTTTTTCCTTCAATTTGACCAAATGAACATACTCGCCTCTCTTTTGTCATTTTTATATTCTTATTTGATGGTTGTGGCAGGTTAGATTTCTGCTGAGATACCTTTAATTGTTAAAATTTCTAATTGTAGGTTCTTAAAGATGGCTGGCTGCATGGAGCAGCTGTACTTGGTGTGCCTGTCAAAGCTACAATCAAAGAGGTAAACTATAGCCTTGCTGGAAAATATCTGTAATGATCATGACTTCAAATGATAGATTATATTGAATTTTTGAAGATGAAAGTTAATTATAGTGCTGATGTAATTCAATACTTAAATTTAGCATGCAATCCTAGAGTCCCATGCCTCCGAGTGGCTGGACATTCCCAACTACAAGCTATCATATGAAATACCTGCACTTCAATGACACTAGAAGTTGTTCACAGCATAACTAAGTTTGAGCTTAAGAACTTTTTGGAAAATTTCACACAGAAACACAACCATTGGTGGCCTAACTAAATTAAATACAAAATTAATGTCTAAACTTCTTGTCGCTTGTTGGAATTTATTGTGAATGTGGATTAAACTTTTTGGTACTTTTAAAACTTATTTATTTTGTATGAACGTATTGGCTTACTGGAACATGATTTAACTTATCTCAACTTTTGTATGAAATAAGTCAAGAGACCCGGTTAATAAGACTGATATACAAACTTTGTATATCAGCCTTCAAAAACAGGCAAAATCGCTGATATGCAAAGTTTGTATATCAGCCTTATTAACTTGAATTTTTTCGCATCTTATTGGAGAAAAAGTAAAGAGGTTTAAGGTGCACCAGAAAATGACAGCTCCAATGAATTGGCTATTAATGATATTGCCTAATGCCTATGACATCTTTAGTGAGAATGCTGATGACGTATCTATTGTGGAACATCTTGGTCATCCAGTGTTAGTTACTCAGCTTTAGTTTGAGGCTAGTAATGATATTTCGTATGACAACTTCAGTAAGAATTAACATATTTCGTATGACGTATCTAAATCGATTCATGATCCTCCAATGATCAAAACATTTTGCTCAAAAATGTTCTGATTTATTAGTTCTACACTAGACCTTCTTTGAAGAATTGATCGACTTTCATATGGCAGTAAGCCAGCAACTCGCTTCCTGTTTCACATAATCATGTCTTATCAAAGATAATGATTTATAGTCAAGCAACTTCTTTTATTTCTAAACTTCTGTAATCATGGTGATGGATTGATTCATTGTTTCCTTAGCCTTGCATTAGACAGAATTTGATAAAAGCTGGTGTTATATTGTTCAGAAAAGGACTTGAGGTTACTGATGACGTATCGATTGTGGAACATCTTGGTCATCCAGTGTTCATCACGGAAGGTTCTTATACCAACATCAAGGTATCAATTATTGTTTCTTTTCTCACATTTATAAATGATAGAAGCAAATGTGTTTCTCGACCTATATACATTAATACTCCCTCCGTTCTTTTTTGTTCAACGTACTTTCCATTCTATTGGTCAAAGAAGACATCCAAACATAAGGGAGATTGTAGAAGTTGCTATTCTCCTTCTATTTCTGATACTTTGAGGAGAAAAGGTGGTAATTTACTCTGTGGTAGCCAAAAAGATAATCATAAACAACCTGGATCTTTATCACGGTCAAAGAACAGAAGATCCATTCGCAGATCGTCAAAGGTCATCTTCCCTTGCTCAGTAATAGCTGTGATGGTGGAGGAGAATCATCTTTTGGAACAGTTAATAGTGATGATGAACTGTCTACAAATTTTGGAGAGCTCAATTTGGAAGGTTTGAGCCGGCTGGATGGGAGGAGGTGGTCGGCCAGCTATAGGAGTCAAGATAGTTCGGACTTCATTGCTGCCAGTGGGGAAGGTGAAGAGGAAAGCTCATCAGAAAATATTAGGAGCTTAAGTCAGAGATATCGGCCGATCTTTTTCGATGAGTTGATTGGGAAAAATATTGTAGTCCAGTCCCTTATGAATTCTATATCAAAGGGAAGAGTTGCCCCTGTTTATCTGTTCCCAGGTCCTCGTGGAACTGGAAAAACATCATCAGCAAAAATAGTTGCAGCTGTTTGGCCACTGAGGAACAAAACCCTGTGGAATCTGTAGGGATTGGTCTGATTCTATCTCTGGCAGGAGTAAGGATTTAGTGGAGGTTGATGGCTCAAATAAAAAGGCTGTTGACCGAGTGCGACACCTTTTGAAAAGCTTGTTGGCTACACCCTCATCAGCTTCCCAACGGTACAAAATTTTGTTAATTGATGAATGCCACATGCTCCAATCTAAGACTTGGTCAGCGTTTCTGAAGTTTCTTGAAGACCTACTGCCTCGAGTTGTATTCATATTTGTTACTACTGATCTTGAAAGTGTGCCACGCACTGTGCTGTCACGATGTCAGAAGTATCTCTTCAACAAAATTAAAGATGGTGATATTGTTAGTAGACTAAGAAGTATAGCAGCTGAAGAGAATCTCGAGGTTGATTCTGATGCCTTGGATTTGATTGCTTTAAACGCTGATGGCTCACTTCGAGATGCAGAAACTATGCTAGACCAGTTGAGTTTGCTTAGGAAACGAATTACCACTGCTCTTGTAAATGAACTTGTAATTTTACTGTCTGGCATTCCTTGCTGGTTTGTCTGCATTATGCTTTTAAAGGCATAATTGACATCTAATATGACCATATATCAGACCAGAATCAAGGCATGAGGGTTCTTTTGAATTCAAGTTTGTTTTTTACATTATCAATTGCATTTGTGCATGCTTGCAACTTCATATTGCAAATTTAACCAGAGGATGTTTCGCTGCTTATGCTATTACATGTGAAGAGGCATAGTTAAGCCGTAGCTCATTTTACTAACCTACTTGGGCTTCTCCGCCACATTGGTTGAGTCCGAATTTTCTAAGCTGAAAAGCAACGAATTCTTTTGTATCCAAGCTACACAACTTCAAAAATTTTGTGGCAATTGTATCCTGCCTAAACATTCAAAAATTCTTTTGTAGAAGTTACTAAACATTTTGTGAATGTGTAATTGTATCCTGCCTCTCTCACTCTCTCTTTTCCTTTTAATTTTTTACTCGCATATATATAAACTACGTGCTCATGTGTATTTGTATGCTTATGTAGTTTATAGAAAATTATCTCATATTCCAAGCAGCTTCACTCCACTCCAATTATTACTTCACTTAAGCTATATTTAGAATATTAATTGAAGAAATTTTTGTTGACGTTCCATGCTACAGGTGGGAGTTATTTCAGATGACAAACTACTGGAACTCTTGGAGTTGGCTATGTCATCCAATACTGCAGAGACAGTCTTATAATGGACATCATTGCTGGGTCTTACCAACTCGCAGATGCCAAGTGTAGTAACTCCTCGTTAAGTGGACGAAGTTGTGAGTGCTGACTACCGGGCTCTCACGTCCTTGTATTTCTTATTCTATAAACATTTGTCATTATCGGTTAATGTTTTGGGTGATTCTCTTGCATAGCTAATAATTTGTTATTCTTTGTAGATTTGCATTGGTAGTTTTGTTGTATATCCATATCATTTATTGGCGGCAAGTCTTCTATGTTTTTTCAAGATGGCAAGGATTATGTTCTGTCTGTTTTTGAAGTTGTTTCAATTACATATATTTTTTTTTATTATATGAGATTCTGAAATACGAGAAAACACTGATGCTATGATCCATTTGTTAATTGTCATATTATAACAGAATGTCAGAATTTCTCACTCTAATGAGCTTGTAAAATTTTATGCGTGCATCTGCTTATCATCAAATATAAGAGGTTCCCAATATGTTCTTGAAAATGATTTAATGAAATTCAGTTTGGTATTTATACACCAAGATTAAAAGTTTCATGATTGAATCAATTTCTGCTGTTCTGTCAGAAAATATTAGGTGATTTATTCTTATCTTTATCCTTCTAGACCAATATAGTGATTACTAGCTCTTATATAGGGGTACAAATTGCCTTGAAGTTCTAATGAAAATATACAATGGCTTTTCTTTTATTGGGTTTTCCATGTTCCATTCCTAATAATTGTGAAGTCTGTAAACTTTCAGCTTTGAATATGAAAGTAATAGCTCTGTAACAGTCACTAAAATTGGTTTTTGGATTTTTTTGTAGTGTCAGAATCAGAGCTGGAGAAATTAAAGCATGCATTGAAGCTTCTTTCTGAATCTGAAAAACAGCTTAGATGTTAGAATGTATGGCAATATATTCTGGTTTGACTTTGTATATAACTAATTTGGTTAGTGTATATTTCCTAGCCTAGTTTATAGCCTAATTTGTAGCTAGTTAGTAGCGAAGATTATCTCTTGTAATTTGTATATTTATACCTAAAGATAATGAATGCAAAGGCAACGATCAAATCACTTTCATGGTATCAGATTAGGGTTTCGATCCTAGCATCCTCTACCCCTCACGACCCGTCATCTTCTTCCTTTCTTTTCTTTCTTTCTTTCTTTCCGCTGCACCTTCTCCATGGCTGACACTCCAAAATATCACCCCGCCTTTACGATCACAAACGTAAAGTCCCTCATACCGATTACTTTGGATTCTAATCATGGATTGTATCACTCTTGGGCTGCACTTTTTAAAGTGTGTTGTAGGGTTCATGATCTCACTTCCCACATCATTCCTCCTACGGAAGCATCCGAACTCGCTGCATATGAGTCTTCCAAGAGGGCAGACCTTGCCTATTGGAAACGTTTGGATGCCGCCGTCCTTAACTGGATTTATAGTTCCGTTTCCCCCGACCTTCT